TCTAAAATCATATATACTTGAGATTTCAACTTTTATTTTTTATTGTGTGTCTATATATATATATATATATATTATGTATTCCATACTTCAGAAAATGGTATAAAAAAATGCAGATAAATTTTTTTTTTGAACGCTAACATTACTTTCGTAATCACATTGCCCGTGCATTGCACGGGCAATAGACTAGTAAGGAGAAAAGAATTGAACTCATTTTAATACAAGGTTAATTGAGTTCCATTAAAAGAAACTTGAAGTTTGACGGTAAAGACATTATATTCTATATAGATTTAAATGTTTTTTCCTTGGACCTTAGTATGGTATGCAAGTGCTTCATCATCCTTGCAATACCTCGAATCTAGACACCTAATCGCCACGTGGTCCAACATCCCCCCATTGCCTTTAACTCTTCATCATTAATGTACGTCTCCTATGAAGGACTCAACTAGAGTCTAGAATGTACTAAATTTACTAGAATAAAAAGACATAGTATCTATCTATAATATTTTGTTTGTACATATTTAGCATAATGTCTAGATCATCACACTAAACGAAATTGAGAAGAAAAGAAGTTAAATCATGTAGGTTATATTTTTGAACTAGTGTTCAATATTATGTACCGTTTACAACCATAAGATCTCACCATCGCATAACATTAGTTCGAACATGACTTGTACATATTATTTTGAATGATTAATGTTGATCCCCAAATATGTCAATCTAGTTGTTGACGGATCCCAACTTTGATGGCATTCACACTTATGTTACATGCACACTTTGACATCGATACTAGACTACACTTGATCGTAGCTTCGACTGGGTACGACAATCTTGAACACCCTAAATCTCAAGTCAGATGATGATGAATATTTGGATGTGAGAGATATACAATGAATGAATTATGTGGTGCCAAGTGTAGAGCTTACACTTGCCGAAACCTCAAGGACAAACTACAATTGTGAGTGTATGCATTCTAGTATAATTGTGAGCAGTGTTCTAAAAAGCGTGACTAGACGTGGAGGCCAAGCTTCAAGCTTTACGAACCTAGAAGAGGCTTAGGCGTAAAAAACGTTTTTTCAAATTTTAATTTTAAATTTTTAATCATTGTAAAAAAAATTCAATAATTCAAATGATACATACCAAACATCTAAAATTATAAAATAATGTATTTACTTAATAATTCATACATAAAGATAGATTTTAAAATCATAATTACATAACGTAGATAACTTATAGTTTAAATCTTATCTAATCTAACTTTTTATCGGATTCCAAGTCAATATCTTCTTCTTCTTCTTCATCTACTTCGTCCTCCGTATCGTCTGATACAAAATCATCATTCTTGGGTTACTTATTTCATTTTGATCTTTTTTTGTACTTCTTGCAGGTTGTAAGATCTCATTTTTCACCATATCATTCTCCTCCTCACCCTCATCGTCACAACCATCTACAATTCAAGATTGTGCATTAGTAGCATCACTTTCTAGTATAGTCTCTATTTTGGCATTTCTCTTCTTCTTGTTCTTCACCCTTGCATTAAATTGGACATAAACAAGATTGTTCGTCCTCATAGTTTTAAGTCTATTCATTTTCTTGGTGTGCATCTACCAAAAAAAAAAAACATGGCGAAGGCACGCCTAGGCGAGCATTATGCAGTCAACGAGGCACGCCTAGNTTTAGCACCTGATTTTTTAAAATGGCAAACTAAACACCTGAGCCATAAACTTTTCCCTTAAACAATCAACATTGTTGTTAACCGCTTAATTCTCGCTTAGACTCAAGACGAAAAGTTTTCATCATGCTTCTCGCTTAAGTGCGCTTTTTAGAACATTGATTGTGAGAGAGTAAAAGTTACTTAAATTTCAAGTTAGTAAATATAAGTCAAGAGTAAAAGAAAATTGGATAAACCCCCAAGTATAAGAGATTTTTTTACAGGGAACTTACATATCCCTCACAAAGAGGACGAGTCCCAAATGTATTAAAAGGTCCTTGTACTTCCGGCATAACCCAAGAAAATTTTGTTACATATCATCCTTATGATGCTCATTATACCTTGTATTCACACGAAGGTCCCGAGCCATCCTTGCACCCTCATGTTTGGCAAGCTCACAATTATTATATGTACTATATACCTAACTCATGAAAATCCCGCTAGAACACTTGAATAGGATTCAGCTTGTAACAACTTCTTCATAACACAAAAAAAAATTGTAAAGAAATGCAACTAAACTAAGATTAATTACGATTATACACACACACACAGAGTTCATGTGATATTGTCGTATAGTGAGAGTAGAAAAACTCCCATATCACAAAATTAAAAATAAAAATTAAATAAAGTGATTTATCATATATGTCCATTTTAGTTTTCAATCTTATCTCCTAACCATGTTGACTTGTACACCCATAGCTACACACGACACGTGAGGGGCAAAATCGTCACAAAAAGTTTCCACCTATATAAATTACCCTTTGCCAGCCCATTCTTCAGCCTGCAACTGCACGACAGTGAAGAGTGAACACTTCACCCGCAAAACTGAGTTCGAGAGAGAGAGAGAGAGTTCTAGAGAGAGAACAATAGATACACAATGGGATTTGCAGCCCTTTTGTATATATCAGCTGCGTTTCTTACACTGAGTTCTGTATCTAATGCCTGCCCGCCGTCGGACCGGGCAGCTCTACTGGCCTTCAAGGCTGCCCTCTATGAGCCCCACTTGGGCATTTTCAACTCGTGGACAGGCTATGATTGTTGTCACAACTGGTATGGAGTGAGCTGTGACCCAGAGACTCACCGAGTCGCTGATATCAACCTCCGGGGGGAATCGGAGGACCCCATCTTCGAAAAAGCCCACCGGACCGGTTATATGACCGGGACAATATCACCGGAGATTTGTAAACTCACTAGGCTTTCAAGCCTAACAATTGCAGATTGGAAGGGCATTTCCGGAACAATCCCACCATGCATTGTTTCATTGCCATTCCTCCGGATCCTCGACTTGATCGGAAACCAGCTCACCGGAGAAATCCCGGCTGATATCGGCAAACTGAGTCGACTCAGCGTGTTGAACGTTGCAGACAATCAACTCTCCGGCACCATTCCGAGGTCACTCACCAACCTATCCTCTCTAATGCATCTCGATCTTCGATCCAACAAAATTTCAGGTACACTTAACCATCTCATCAAAAGTTTAAATCATTATCATTTTTCTGTGTGCACAATTTACGATTTTTAATACACGAGGAGCTGATTAGAGACCGATCTTTTGTTTGGTTCTAATATTATTAGACTGTTTCGTAAGAAAGGTTGCATGTACATGTACTGTAAAACCCGACAAGAGCACAAATTTTAATGTATTCATTCAAAATTTATCTTGAACAGGTACAATCCCGCGAAATTTTGGCAAGTTAAGAATGCTGAGTCGGGCTTTGCTCAGCAAGAACAAATTAAATGGGCCAATCCCTTACTCGATATCCTACATTTATCGTCTTTCAGATTTAGATCTTTCTTTGAACCAACTTTCCGGGTCGATACCCAATTCATTAGGCAAAATGGCTGTTCTCGCAACGTTAAATCTTGATGGGAATCAAATTTCTGGTACAATTCCTCCTACATTAATTAATTCCGCCATCAGCATATTGAACTTGAGCAGAAACGGGCTTGAGGGTTATATTCCAGACGGTTTCGGGCCAAGATCGTATTTTACTGTGATAGATTTATCGTACAATAATCTTAAGGGAAGGATTCCTAAGTCGATTTCTTCTGCAACTTATATTGGCCATCTTGATGTTAGCCACAATCATCTCTGCGGGCCGATCCCGACGGGCTCTCCGTTTGATCATCTTGAAGCATCGTCGTTTACTTACAATGATTGTCTGTGTGGGAAGCCACTTAGACCTTGTTAGATTTAGATGTGAACGCTTGGCTAAGCTTAGCCAAATTTATTAGTAAGAGAAGTAAATCAAAGTTACTTTTAAGCTTGGCCAAATTGCGATCGATCTTTAAGATTATGAATATGTCATGGAGTTGATTTTCGGGCCTCTATATGTGATTTTCTTTATAGCTTGCGGATCTTGGATTTATTAGTATATATGTATACTTGGTTTGATGCATAAATTTATATTTTCTGAAAATTAATGTTGTTGTTTAGTCTGGGACAACGGGCTTTTGTTGCTTAACCCTAAGTCATTTCATCGAATGAGTTGATTGTGGTCTGATTTTTGAATCATGCGACATGTATCGAATTTTTTTTATCGAATCTTTTACTTACTACTCACAATGGGAATGATCATATTGTTGAAATTTTTAAATACACGCGGGCCCTGTACATTATGTGGGGGCAAATCATTATGTACAAATTATTATGTACAAATGAATTTACCATTGATTTTTTCTCCTTTTTAATCATAGATTCATAATTGATGGATTTACTTTTATGACGTGGCAATTATTTTTTACTTTCAAATTCTTTATTCGATTTTCAAAGATATGGAGTAAAACAGTCTTAGACAAAAGGAGTCGAGTGCGAAATTCATGCAAAGTTGGTGTTTCTCCGAGACAGAGAAATTGTCACTAAAAGCGTGTTTGACATGTTAAACTAGACGAAACTAAATACAATTAATAGTTGACGCTTTTCTTATCATTTCAATTTTCAACACAATTTCTTTTTAAGTTTTCAACATAACAAAAGTATATATAAATTTTGTCAATTATGAAGTTAAATTCAATTAACCAAATATGAATTCGATTAATTTATTCTGAAAACCCCATGGTTTAACTTTCGGTAAAAATAAGAAAAGGTCAATGAAGTTGGCCACGTAGAAAATATCATTTCAGCACAGTATGAGTTTTCAAAATTTGTCCAAGATCGAGCTCTGAGATTTGACAACTGATTTAATTGCTCCCAAGATCGCCGACATGGACATAGAATCCCTTGACATTTGAGATAAAAATTTCAAGATATTTTGAAATTCATGGTAACGATTACCGTTTACATATCGATATTGTGATCTCAAAAGGGTCTGATCGAATATCAACATCACTTGAGCACGCGAAGGTTGACAAATTACACACAAAAGTTTTCATTTAATTTTTCTAAGTTTGATGGTGGTTTAATCTGGGCATCATGTGTCACAATCAAAGAATTCATACAAGATCATGTCCATCTTGTGCATTTGATTAAATCAAAATCAATTAATTCTATGGTCTTTTTCTTATTATTTTTGCACCTCTAAACTATATAATATGTCACAATTTGGCAGTTGTCAATCAAAGAACTAGCTAAGACGTCACACCACATCACACGTGATTCCATTTGTGACACTTCCTATTAAGTCCTGTTTGATTCCCTTTAATTTATTTCACATTATTTCGCATTCTCATTTTCTACCATACAATCACACGATAAAATATTATACACGTAAATCCAAAATTTTTCTTTACTTTTTAATCATGAATTCTCTCAAAAATACTATTAAAAACATAGTTTTTTACTTTTAAAGGCCACCAAACAAGGGCTAATTAGGTTTCAAAACAGGCTTCTCCTAGTCATTGTCACACCCATTTCGTGGTATCCAAACTAGGTTTAAAAAGACTATTGTTCGGGATAACTCATTATCCTATACTCTTTCATTTTACATGATATATAATCGTTTACCATTTAGCAGACCATGTTTCCCATCCCTGCCTCATTTACAAGGGAAAATTTCATAAATAAGTGACTATCAGAAAATCATGTTTGGCTAACGTTTATAAACAGTCAAATTAATTTTTATCCATACATTTTGTGGATTCTAAGTACTATTCACTTACTTACATATCACTCATATCTTCTATCTATAAACAAAACCTATTATAAACACCGTCCAAACAAGATACATTTTTATGGTTCTAGTACTATGTTGAACTATTTCATCTCAAGTGTGTAAACTGATTGAGAGAGGCCACATGAACTTATTTTTATTTAGTTGGGACGAGCATCGAAATCCGATTCAAATCGAACCCATTGACAGTCCTATCAGAATCACATCATTGTCTTAAAAGAGGCCCACAATGCTTGAAGCATCAGTCCAAATCAATAATGATCCACACTTGTTTCTTTTGACACGGAAAGCATACTGTACAATCTATTAAAGCAGGGCATTGGCCCCCAGAGCATATCTCCAAGTGGTAAAAGGGGAAGGTGGAAAAACTCCAGCTTTGTTTGAGGCTGCCTCGTGAAGGTTCGAATCTTGAAATATGGATTTGGCTCTTAGGTAAGTACAAGTGTACAAGCAGCCTTCCATCCTATACCCTTGGAGGCATAATTTGCGATTTACCTCCTTCACCAAGGCTCAGGGTAAGGCAGGTGGGAGCCGCCAAAGATGCGGTTCATCCTTTTATTTTTTTTATTAAAGCAGGGCATTGGCCTGTTATCTAAAGCAAAGATGTGCCAAATGGAAATAGGACAGTCAGAAAAAATAAAGGACTTAACCCCACAAGAGCAAACCAATCTCTGATCAATAATGCAAACTTCTTTCTCAAGTCTCCAAGTGGGTATATGTATTATGCACAACACAAATATTTTAGCAGTAGATGCAAAAAAAGAATTCACCTAGTGTACCCTAACTTCATTGAACTCGAAGCGACGTTCCAACCTTAAATGGCCTTGAACCAATGAAGACTTACCCGCATATGTCTGAGTCCATGCCCATGTGTTGCAGCAAGTGATCTAACTGATAATAGTATCGTTTTCCATTCATTGTCATTGTGCAAACAGATGGTCTATTGTTGGCTCCTTCATTTCCACCTGCAGCAGAAGTGAACATGCATAAGTATTGACACAATATAGAATAGCTTAACGTCTAAGCCAAATGAACCAACAAGAACTTGATAGCAGCAATGGAAGTAACTATAAACAAGACAAAAGGAACCTATGTTTTTATAGCCGGTAAAGTATTTTGATGGCCAGCGTAAAACTCAGTCAAATTTTATGATGTGAATCCCAGTACACGCTTTGCTGTACTTGAATGTGAATAGACAAGGGATGCATCGTACTTCTGGATGTGAAAGTATAGGTGTATTTACCTTGCTACTTGTCATTTCCTCAATAGTCCAGTAAACCAGTAGAAACACCATCATAAGCGATCTCCCCTGCAACGATATGAATATCATCTATCAAAGTGGAAAGGCAAGAAACAATGCCCAATAAGAATAGAAAACATCAGCCTCAACGATGTCACCCTGGAACCTATTTGAACTGGAATGGACAATGGATCCCAAGGAATATCACCTTCACTTTTCGAGGCTTAGCCTTAGAATACTAAAAGAATCGGAACAAATTCTTCGTTCTTTATTTATTTCATGGAAAATTTACAACTTTCTATATCCAAATTTACAACTAAGTATTAAAATACACAGTGTACGACTCATCCCTCAAGCTTAGTAATGGAGCCAGAAGAAAGTTCCTTTTTGCCCCCTTTGCCACAAAGCTAATAGGATGATATTTACTTATTCCATCTTTCAACATAAAGCTCGTAGCCTGTTTAAATCCAGCATCTGAGAAACCAGAACTACAATTGAGCTTGACACTTGCACCAGAACCATAATCCACGCCACTATAAATATAACAGCCCTGCTGTTTTTCAGACTGCAAGGAAACTGTTCCATCTTTTCCATTCAGTCCGGCTACCAAATGGAAACCGTAAGATTGGTTTCCATCATATGATGAGGGATCTGAAACTTCAAGATCTTCACCGTCCCCATGATGCAACATGAGCATGCCTGGAAAGTCAAACGGTTCTAGCATGACTAAATTTCCCATAGCATCTTTTACTACACAAAGATTTTCAGATACAGTGTCCTTCAAGATGACTCTAAATGTAGCACGAACGGCAGAATCAGTTCCAGATTCGGGAAACTTCTCCATTTTTATTAGTCGGTCAGAGTTTGTGAGGACAAATGTTGTGTTCCCCGATTCTTGCGCAAGAGTAATCAAATGAGAACTGTAATCAGCGGGTACTGGACTTAAAGAATCCAAAATAGAAGTAGGAGACTCCGTTTTAATGTCCCAGTCACCAGTAGACAGTCCAGCAAGAAGGTAGGGACCATACAGAAACGCCTGAAGAGAAGAATATTCTGGACGGTCATCTGAAAATGTCGTTTACAAGAGTTCGTTAGCTTCAATGCAAGAAATGAATCTTTCTGTGTCTGTGAAAAACCAAAAAACGAGAATATTATGATGATTATAGGAGCATCCTTAGAAGATACCTTTAATGGCCTCAGTTCTGAGACTCATAGGCAGCTCGAGAGTGATTTTGTCCCCTGAGATCCAACATCTAGTAACTGATAGAAAATTGCCTGCATTATGGTGCAATAAAAATGATGAACTCCTTTCTATTTGCTTATCAACTCGAAGTCAGTTTTATATCCATGTCAAGGAAAAAAACACTAGTATAGGTACTTATAAAGGGAAAGACAAGGTTCATACCTGGTTCTGGCACAGACAAGTACTGATAATTTAAAAATGCCTTTGCACCAGTTGAATATGCCCATGAAGGTATCCTCAAATTTAAGGTAGATGATGTACCTTCTTTTTGCTGCATGGAGTAGACATTTAAAAGAAATTAGTACAGGATATTATTGAATAACTGCAGCAAATACTGAGAAAAATAACTGAGTAATTTCATCACTTCCACAGAAAATGGAGCTGAAGATTTTTTGAATAAATAGATACTAATATTTAAGGTAAGTAATCATTAGATCATACTATTATATTCTCCAATTGGAATGATGTTCCCTGTTACCAAACTGTGTAGTGCTTGCCCAAGAAAATATATTATTACAGGTTTACGTCTTATGAGACATTCTCAATTCCTTGATACTCAGGAAGTAAATAGTAGACGATTGATACCTTCTTCGGGAAAAT